GTGTGTGTGTTTGGTGTGGGGGTGTGGGGGTGTGGGGGTGTGTGGGTGTGTGGGTGTGTGGGTGTGTGGGTGTGTGGGTGTGTGGGTGTGTGGTGTGTGGTGTGTGGTGTGTGGTGTGTGGTGTGTGGTGTGTGGTGTGTGTGTGTGTGTGTGTGTGTTGTGTGTGTGTGTTGTGTGTTGTGTGTGTGGCCCCTTTTGCAGGTAGCACGCGGCCTGCGCTGGCCTTCATTACACCACCTGCGTCGTACCGAAGAGCGCCGGCTGGCAAGCGCATGTTGGTGCACGATCTGTGGACAATTGAGAAAATCGTTTAGTCGGATGTGTGGGTGGAGGAGGAGGAGGAGAACGAGGAGAACGAGGAGGAGGAGGACGAGGAGGAGGAGCTGGTGAGGCTCAGCTCCGGCCCGCGCGATCGATAGTCTACGGGCTGCCGGCTCTGCCGCCGACACCAAAGAAGACCATGGATGTTTCTTTGCATAGTGTCGTTGGCCAATCGCATGGCTGGTTGTGTAGACATGAAGGCGGCGCCCCCAAAGAGCATGAGGCGTTGGGCGGGGATCCAGCAGCTCCATCGCATAGGATCCAGCAGGCGAGGGGGTCAGCGGCAGGTGAACCTGCCGTGGGGAAAGGACGGATTCGCAGGAGGAAGAGGTACCGATACAGCTGTCGTTCGCTCGTTCTCGTCTTTTTGGGCCTTCTGGGCGACCCTCGTAGCCACCCACGGCTGGATTCGCTCCGAACTTCTGGTCAGGACGCACCCAGGGAGAGGTCCAGGGAGTCGCGGTGTCGGCAAGGGTGCCGGGGATATCGGCCAGAAAATTCGGTGCACAGTCCCTCCAGCACCGCACATCTTGAGGAGCCGTATATCAGCAGGGGAATTAACACAGACACAAATAATCTTCAATTCCCAAGGATGATAACATACTAGGAAGTGGGGCGGGTAGACCAAACTCAAGAAAATATGGACAACTATGGGGAATCCTGGGAGTTGTGTCTGTTGATTTGTGAGTCCCTGGGCCCATTCAGTATACCACACCGAGCTCCCTGGCCCACCAGACGATCTGGTATGTTTCTCGAGCTCATCCCAGTGTGCGGGGTCCCTTTTCAGCCACGCGCAGAGGGGGGTAGAGGGGGGAAGGCTTCTGAGAAGGACCCCTGCTTCGTCGAACCCGCGGGCCTTGTGTGTAGATTCCTCCTCCTCCTCCCCCTCCTCCTCCTCCTCCTCCTCCTCCTCCTCCTAGGGCTGGCGCCTTCCAAGAAGCAGCCTCCTTGCCGAGCATCGTTGCCACTGCTGCGCGTGCTTTTCACGAGTTGCTGCGGGTGTGCATGCATGTATGCATCTCTGCATGAATGTGTTGCGAACCGTAGCCTCCGAGGCTCGCCTCCTAGAAGTTGCCAGAGACACGTCCCAGAGCCAATCGAACAAAAAACTGCGCCATCACAGCTTGAGAGCTCCCTTGCTTCATCGTGCCGGCCCGCGAGGAGCTGAAGAGCTGGGTGAAGATCTGCCGCGACACGCAGTGCACGCTGGTCCTGGACACTCCGCGGCCGCGCCGGGCCCCTCCTTCCCTCTCCCTCCTCCCTCCCTCCATCCTTTCCTCCTCCTCCTCCTCCTCCTCCTCCTCCTCCCTCCTCCCTCCTCCATCCTCCCTCCTCCCTTCTCCCTCCCCCCTCCTCCCTCCTCTCTCCTCCCGCCCCTCGAAGATCACTGAGATTGTCATCGCCTTGGGTTGCCGATCTTCTAGGCCTCCTAGATGGGGTCGGAGCAGATGGGGCCGGAGGATCGCGCCGCATCACCGATGCATCGCCGATGCGGCTCGATGTGGAGCCCGACTTTCTTCACGCCGACGGCGCCGATGCATCGCCGATGTCGACGTGCATGGCCGGTGCATCACCGATGCATCGCTGATGCGTTGCCGATGTATCGGCGATACGGCGCCATCCTCCGACCCCATCTACCCCGACCCCATCTGGGGGGCCTCCAGGGATCTTCGCAATTCGATTCGGCTCTAAGCAAAAATGACGCAGCAAAAATTGGGTCCAGGGCTGCGGTCGTGATTTTTTTACGAAATTCAATGTTTGCGAGACGTCGGGTCTCAGGGAGGGAGAGTGGGGAAGGCTTCTTACAAGCACCCCTGCTTCTTAGAAGGCGTGGGCCTTGTCTATAGATGTAGGGCTAGCGCCTTCGAAGAAGCAGCCTCCTTGAGACGCTTTCCCCCCTCTCCCTACCTCCGCGTGCGCGCCGCCAAGGGCGGCGGGGAGGGACCCTTCCAGGGGCAGCGACAGGCCGTGCCTACCAAGGCATGGGGGTTTCACTATGAACCTGCTCCGCACCCGGCAGCTCGGGATCGCTAGGTTTAGAGAGGTGGGCCCCCGACCCGACGCGCACGCCATGCATGCCGCGGCCGCCCGGCCCAAAGCGTGCAGCTGTCCCCTGGGTGTGCGCCGCCGCTCTGTCCTCGGCGAAGGGCGACTGCGTGCCGTGGCTGCCAGGCCCAGCGTGTGCGCGTGCTTCCTGGGGAGCCCGCCTCGCGTTCTCGGGCGGGCATCGCGCAGCAGGGGGCGCTCGGCGGGGGGAGGCGTGGGCCCCGACCTCGCCGACTCCATCGCCCCTCGGGGCCTGGGTTCCCCCTCCCGCCCCGGAAGGTTGGGCTTCGCTAGTTATCTGGGGCCTGTCGCCGGTCTGTTAGACGATGTACTGCCGATTCGAGCTCGAAATTTCCCCCCTGAGGCGATTCCCCACTATCGTTCCGCCTCGTACCCAGGGCGTTCGAGGGAGGTCTGCGCAACAAAGTCGCGCAAGCACCCTTTTTTGTTTCTTTTGTGCAGTCCTGATCTGTAACTACATACATCTGCAGGGGCTGTATGTGTTCAAGCTCTCTGGAAGGCTAGGGTTTGTGGTCGAGGCGGTGGAGGAGCGCAGTGAACGAGGCCAGAGGAGCGGGCGCTGGAGCATGGGACATCAGGAGGGCGGCAATTGGGGGCGGAAAGGCTGGAGGCGAAGGCCGATTCGGGAGGGATAGAGTCTCACGCCAGTCGGCTGACCCCATCAGCTAGGTCATCCGACTTCTCGCATCACGCCAGGCGGCGCGCGTTTCTACTCGCGCCCTCGCGCACCCGCGCCGTCCCTTCTCAGCAGGGAGGGCAGCCGCTCTGGCCCCAGGCCGCGACGCGAGAGGCGCGGTTGCCTCCGCGCCCCCGCGGGTGACCTGGACTCTCCCGCCGGGCGGGCGGCTCCACCATCGTGCGACTGCGGACGAAGCGCCAGGCACTTCTGTGCACACCAGGCGGCGGAGCACGCTGTCCACGCAGCTCGGGCGCGCGCCAGCATGGATCCGATGAGGCTGGTGCCGCCGCGCTAAGCGGCGCGGCGCGCCGACCACGCGAGGAAGCGAGGCTCGCCGCTGCTCTGCGCGTCTTGGCCAGCCCTCCTCAGGGTTCGGATGCCGCCACCTGTCTCTCGGCATCGCTCGGACGTGTGCATTTTTCCTTCGGCGAGGGCCATCGAGGAGCATCCTTGATCATTTGGCGGAAAAGCCACGCACGAAACCGAAAAAAACACAGGGAATGGACGTCCGAGCGATGCCCAGGTCTCCGATGCCCCCGGGGAAGCCGCCGTGGGGGCCGCCGTGCCCTCCGCGGGGGGCCGCCCGCAGGACGAGATCTACTCGCGCTACATCTACACGCAGCGGATGGCGCCCACGGACGCCCACTGGCGCTCGCCGCTCGCCCCGGGGGGGCCCTCTGGCCCTGTGGGCCGGGGAGTTGGGGAGGAAGGGGGGGGAGGAGGAGGAGGAGGGAAGATGAAGATGAAGAGGGAGAGGAGGAAGAGGAGGAGGAGGAAGAGGAGGAGGAGGAGGAGGAGAAATTGGAGGAGGAGGGGGAAGAGGAGGGGGAGGAGGGGGAGGAGGAGGAGGAGGAGGAGGAGGAGGAGAAGAAACTGGAGGGGGAGGAAGGGGGAGGAGGAGGAAGGGGAAAGAGGGGAGGGAGGAGGACGGCAGGTTATCACTCATTCGTGGAGGGTGGGGAATGGAGGCTGAGGGAGGCACCAGGGAGGAGGGAGGAGGGAGGATGACTAGGAGGTGTTAAAACACAGCACCTCAGGTTACTGTGAAATCCGTGTTGTTTGGTTCAAGTGTTAATGCCTGTTTTCCAGCGGTGACGGAGACACTTGTTCGCACATTTTGGTCACCCATGGTAAACAGAGCCTTATCCTCACCGCGCTATTTATGTTAAGTTTGCGTGGTAGCGGAAAGAGGTCATAGCGACAAGAGCGGATCATACGATACAGAACACAAGACAAACATGTATAACACCCAGTATTGTGAGTGTCGGAGTCAGCTGCTCGACCGCATTTCGATCTGGGCAATGCATCGCGTCAAGCCAACTGCGACGCGATCACGAGTTATATTCACGAACAAGACCGGTTGGGGAACACAAATATGTCAAACGAGCATGCCATGCCAATGCTGCGGTTCGTTGGCTAGTCCAACGTAGTCTTGGTACGCATCATCAGCCGTGAGAACATAACACAGGAGACAACCCCAGTCAGTGGATGGTTTGAAAAATAGTGATATGGATATTGAGATCGATTGAGATCGATAGTGGGATCGATACAGAGGACGACTGTAAGGTCGTCGTGAGACCGATAGTGAAGTCGATTCATTGAAATCGATAGTGAGATCAATCGTGAGGTCGATAGTGAGATCGATCGTGAGATCGATGGTGAAATCGATTGTGAGATCAATAGTGGGATCAAGAGGGCGACTGTAAGGTCGATCGTGAGACCGATAGTGAAGTCGATTCAATGAGATCGATCGTGAGATCGATAGTGAGATCGAGTGTGAGATCGATAATGAGATCGATAGAGAAATTGGCAATGGGATCGATGGCGAGACCGATCGATAAGAAGATCGACCAGGAACCCAGAAACCTGGGAACCCTGCCGCCCACCGAAATCGGCCCGGAATCCGGAACCAGGAACCTGGGAACTCGGGAACCCGGAACCGGGAACCCGGGAACCCAGCGTGCGACCAAAATCGGCGGGAAATGTTCGCCAAATCTTTCAACCTCCGCCAGGACCCCTTCAGTGCAAGCACTGATTGGGGAATGAAGCTGAACCGGCGTTTGTAATGACAGAGTTGCGGAATTGCAGCGAGCGATGGAGGAACAGCTGAGCACGCAAGACATCTTCGCCCAACTGGCCGACAAAGTGCGATCTAGCATCTAGCAAGGTTAATGCCAGACAGAACTCTAGAAGCGAATGAAAGGCACTCAGTCACTCAAGATATTCAACGGAGACAAGTCCAAGTTTCGAGAATGTGCCGATCGACTGCAGAACGCACTCGCGCAAGTCAACAGCGGATATCGTAAGGTCTTCAAGAGGCTGACTTCCAGCTTGGGGACAAGGTCTAGCTGTGCCGGACCCGGTCCAAGAAGGGGACAGTCAGGATCATGGTCAGCAGGGTGCCAGCAGCTCATTCTCCTAAACAGAGGATTTTTTGGATTCGGGACCTCCCAAGGCATCCCCGAAAACGACTACTGGCTCCTCCTCGCCTCCTATCCCAAAGCACCCCAAGAAAGGCTCCCCCTCGTTAATACCCACTGTGCCCCAACGCTCCTGTTAGACGGGTGAGGCATCCTCGGGCCACCGTGTAGGAATCAAATCCCGAAGCCAAAAGCACGTTGTCATTTCACTCTGGGCCATCGCTTCTGGAACAAGGGAATCTGAAATTTCATAGATGGGATGTCCCGAGTGACGCTCATACAACCAGTACTTGTGAATGGGGTCCTCCCGCGCTCACCTGAACCTGGGGCAGAGGTCATCACTGATCAAGCCAATGTCCAGCTTTCGGGATTGCGTTCAGGACCTTCCCACGGCAGTGTTAACAAGGACTTCAGCTCCTTGCTTGCTTTTGGGCACCTGCTACAAGTGATGCACGAGCGCCCGAAGGGAAACGTTGTTGGCCATTCCCTCGAGGGCGGCGCCGCAAAAATGACTGGATGGCTGTTGGACTTGTGCTGCACAGAGCAGGCGCTGGCAGCCATCCAATAGTGCCTGCTACGGATGAAGTAGGAGGCAGCGTTACGCATTGGGAATCGATGTTCGCAGGTCTAGAGGTCGACACCAACATCGGCGGTGTGCCGCCACCGAGAGACGATCCCGATCTCGGCGATGGTGGTAATATTATGACTTCAAGGTGACCGAAGTGTTACCACCAACACCGAAATCTAGGATCATCTTTCCCCTGTGGAGGCAACCCCCTATGTTGGTGTTGGGGCCCATTTCCAGGCCTCCCAACGTTACGCCTTGGGAATCGATGTCCTCGCGCGGTCCGTCGCAGCCGATGGGCGGCTGGTGCATCCGTGCACGACTTGGCCGCGCGCACCCGGTTGGGGGTGGGGGGGCGAGGGGGACGGCCTCCTGAGGCGGCGCGGGGCCAAGCCGGCAGGGGGCGTCTGTCGGGCCGATCGCAGCCGTGGATTCGGGGGCCGTGGATTAGCGTCGGGTCCCGTTTCCACGGGAACCCGCGGATGCCCCCCGCCGAGCGAGGCGGCACCCGGCCGCATTTCGGGGAGAGGGCACTTCCCCATATCCATGGATTCGGCGACCGCGCGCCAAATCCAGGGATCGCCAGTCCATGCTTGCGCGCCCCCGAGTCCGAGAAGCCGTTTCGCTTCACCAGAGGCCTTTCCAAAAGAGTTGCTGGGGCCTCCCGAGGAGGCCCCAGCCTTGTCACGACGCCCTTAGCCGCCCCCCTCGCGCTACTCCCCAGGGCGCGCCCCATCCCTTTGTTCCTCCTCCTCCTCCTCCTCCTCGTCCTCCTCCTCGTGGTCTTCTCGTATTTTTCCTGTTCCTCTCCTCGTCCTCCTCCTCCTCCTCCTCCTCCTCCTCCTCCTCCTCCTCCTCCTCCTCGTCCTCCTCGTCCGCCTTCTCGTCTTTTTCCGGTTCAGCTGAGGTAGAGATCCGCAGGGCTCGGGAGGCCACGGCCGCGCGCGCCCTGCCTGCCCACGCGGGCACCGGCAGGCGCGCTTCGCCGCATGAGCTCGCACCGGCGCCGCTCTCGATCGCCCGCTCGTCCTCTGCGTCGTTTCCCCCAAGGGGGCCACCCGCAGGGGACGTCTTCTATCAGGAGGCGGAAAAACACACAGACACAATTAATCGTCGATTCCCAGGAAAATATTGGAAACTATGGGAAGTGCGGGGGAAGACAAAAACCCAGAAAAAATAAGAGAAAATATGGGGAATATTTTTAGTTGTGTGTATTTATTTGTGTGTCCTGGGGCCCCTTCATTCTAGGGGCCCGCCCGCCCGCCCCCCTCTCAGGATACTGTTGCCCCGTTGGTGGCGCCAGATCCCACAGGGGGGTGCGCCGTGCCGGTGCGCGCGGGCGTGCGCGGGGCTGCCCACAGCGAGACGTTTTCGCTTCAGCGGCCGCCCGCCCCCCGCTCCCCCCCCCCGCCCGAGCGGATGACGCACGGCGTCGCCGAAAGACCTAAGAAGATTGTGCCCCGCGGCGCGAGCGCAGCCGCGCTCCATGGTCTGGGTTCAAAAACACACGTGGGAAAAAAAACACACGTGTGTTAAAAAAAACGCACACGTGTTTTTTTACGCACGTGTTTTTTCCACACGTGGTGTGTTTGTGTGTGTGTGTGTCTGTGTGTCTGTGTCTCTGTGTCTGTGTGTCTGTGTGTCTGTGTGTCTGTGTGTCTGTGTGTCTGTGTGTCTGTGTGTCTGTGTGTCTGTGTGTCTGTGTGTCTGTGTGTCTGTGTGTCTGTGTGTCTGTGTGTCTGTGTGTGTGTCTGTGTGTGTCTGTGTGTCTGTGTGTCTGTGTCTGTCTGTGTGTCTGTGTGTCTGTGTGTTGGTGTCTGTCTGTCTGTCTGTCTGTCTGTCTGTCTGTCTGTGTGTCCTGTGTGTCTGTGTGTCTGTGTGTCTGTGTGTCTGTGTGTGTGTGGGTGCGTGTGTGCGTGTGTGTGTGTGTGCGTGTGCGTGTGCGTGCGTGTGTGTGTGCGTGTGCGTGTGCGTGTGCGTGCGTGTGCGCGTGCGCGCGCGTGCGCGTGCGCGTGCGTGCGCGTGCGTGCGTGCGTGCGTGCGTGCGTGCGTGCGTGCGTGCGTGCGTGCGTGCGTGCGTGCGTGCGTGTGTGTGTGTGTGTGTGTGTGGTGTGGTGTGTGTTTTTCCCACGTGTGTGTGTGTGTGTTTTTTCCCGAGAGGCGCCTCCGCCCGAGAGGCCGCGCGGGCCTGGCGTGGACAAGGGCGCGCCCCGTCGCGGCGCAGGAGAGGGCGGGGGGGGGGGGGGGCGGCGGGGCTCCGACGAGCCCGTCCGTGCCTCTCGCGCGTCTGCGCCGAGGAGCCTCCACTCCTCCTGCGCCCCCATCGCCCTTCGTCCGCCGTGTGCCGAGTGAGGCAGGCAGACAGGACCCTTGTTGGTTCGGGAGTGGGCTCTGGGTTCCGGGCCGCTTCTTAGGTCTTCGCGCGGGGAACCTCTTCAAGGCCGAGGCTCGCCGCGGCCACAGGAGCCCCTTCGTTCCTTTCGTCTGCTCGTGCCCTACGGCAGCACGATGGCCCGCGCTGATGTCTCGGATCTGCGCTGGGGCCCCCCTGGCGGCGCCTCTTGCGCCGCCCCTGGCGCACTTTGCGCGGGCGGGGCGGGGGTCCATCGCAGATCCAAGAAATCCGCTCGGACCGACAGTTCGTGTTTGTGCAGTGTGTTGTTCTTCTGGCTCTATCAGTCCAACATTTGACAATCCGGTGGGGCTTCAACTCGGGCTGAAGCCCCGAATGGTCGACAAGGCAGTGTCGAGGTCAACCCAAGAAGTCCGAGTTTCCGGAGCTATTACCATAGAGTCGCACTCCCCCTCCTTCCAACCCTCTGCGAGGGAATTTCGCTCGACCTTTGAAAGAGCTCGATTTCCATCGACATCTGAGGGGCAACGGCCCCCCCGCTGCGCTCTCAACACGGCCGCGCCCCGGCGCGCTTAGTGCAGCGTCTCGTCTGGTCTCGTCTCGTCTCTCGTCCAGTCCCTACACCGCGGTGGGTCCGCTCGTTTTGCTCGGCGAGCAGAGTCGCCCATCTGGCCCCGAGAAAGCACAGGGCATGGGGAGAGCCTCGGTCTTGAGGCCGCCATCTTCGGCTTGAAGAAGTCGGAGTTGCGGTCGACAACTCACCAAATCATTGCGCTCCCAAGGCGAATGGTCTCCGCGGCGCAGTTCGTCGAGGACGTGAACTCCGATCCCGTGGTGCCTATCGGCGTCGTCGCCGCCGCCGTCGTCGTCCCAAGTCGTCGCCGCCGTCGCTGCCGTCCGTCGTGGCACGTTGTCGTCGCACTTCGTCCTCGTCCTCGTCGTCGCCGTCGCCGTGGCCGTCGCCGTGGCCGTGGCCGTGGCCGTCGCCCGTCGCCCGTCGCCAGTTGTCCGTCGTCCGTCGTCCGTCGACCGTCGACCGTCGACAGTCTACCGTCGACCGTCGACCGTAGTCTTTCGTCGTCGTCGTCGTCGTCGACTTCATCTTCATCGTCATCGTCCGTTGCTGCCATCCGCCGCCGCCGTCCGTCGTAGCCGTCCGTCGCCGTCTTCCGTCGTCCGCTAGAGCCTGCAAGCAACGCGGACAGATCTCACGGCGGGCGTTTTCTTTTGGCTGCCTGGGTTTCCCTTGTGATCTGGGCGTCGCAGCATGAATTGCGACGGCCGGTTTTGACACTCTCGGCGTCTCTGGAGGCCGAATCCCGCTCTGAGGGCCGTCAACAAAAATTGTGAATGGATGAAATGCTGGCCGAAGAGAAGGGGTCGATATCGGAGGTAGACCACAGCATTGTTCTGGCAGTCCCGTGGATCGGCGTCGTTCTCTTTATGTTTTCGTGTTGATGTCATCCTATGGCCTACCATTGGCGGCCAATGACGACGTCGGATTCGCGCCAAGACGCTGTTTTGGCTAATCGGCCAGGCCCGCTTCGTTGCAAAACATCTCACGAATCGAAGATCACGAAGCGCTGTGTTGGTTGACCCCTGATCGTGGTCCTTCAGGGCCCACACTACAACAGCAGCAACAAACATCAGCGTCGGATGAGGGCGTCTTGGATTGTGTGTGTTTCTGGTACTGTGTGCACCGGTTAGGTGCAACCCTAGACCCGACGCGGAAGGAAAAGAAAGTGGGGACGCACCCCACGGATGCCCTCCGTGCGGCACGCAGCACTCTACCCTGGGTGCGACGATGTCGGAAGGGAGGGCTCAGCCCCAGCTCACTGATCTTGCAACGTTCAGGTGCGACCCCAGACCCAGGGCGGAAAGGGGGAGGAGGCGGGGGCGAACACCACGGACGCCCTCAGTGCGACCCGGACACCCTGCTCTGGGTGTCACGATAGCTGCAGGGAGGGCTCAGCCCCGCTCCACCGACGTTGCACAGGGGTTAGGTGCGCCGCCCTCGCTTCCTCGTCGCTAACGGCTGGGCTCGGTGCGTCGGAGAACACGGGGACGGAGGCAGGGGAGAGCCTGGATCGGTTGTTGCTATTCTCGGGGTGGCCCAGATGGCCTCCAGGGCACCCCTCACGAGGCCCAGAGGGCCCCAGGGGCTCAAAAATGGAGCGAAAAGCTGGGGGCACCTAGGGCCAGGGGCACTTCTAGCAACACCCGATTGGACATCCCTCTTCGCTGCGGCCGGAAAGCGGAGACCAGCATCACAATCGCGAGTAGCGCGACGAGCCCCAGTCGTAGCCTCGGGAGCAATTTTGCGGAGTAGCGAGCCCTGGGCCCAGACCTGGCATTGTTGAGTGGACTGGGGGACGCAGCGGCGCCTCGCCAGGGTCCAGCTCACCCGAAAGCGGGCCTAGTGTGGGCGCCGAAGTGGAAGTCACCACGAGCAACGGCGTTCCCCGGCACGGGGCTGGTGCAAGCGATGTGGTTCTGCCAGCGCGCGAGGTGCCTGCGGGTCTGGCCCCTGCCCCTGGCGACCCCAGGCCCGCCAGTGAAGGTGGCGTGCAGGATCAGGCAGACGCCCACGCCGCGTACGGAACCAGGCAAAAAACGCACACTGTGGGAAAACACACACACACACACACACGTGTTTTTTCCCCCACGTGTGTGTGTGTGCACTTTTTTCCAAGTGTGCGTGTGTGTGTGTGTGTGTGTGTGTGTGTGTGTGTGTGTGTGTGTGTGTGTGTGTGTGTGTGTGTGTGTGTGTGTGTGTGTGTGTGTGTGTGTGTGTGTGTGTGTGTGTGTGTGTGTGTGTGGGGGGGGGTGTGTGGGTGTGTGTGTGTGTGTGTTTTACCACAGTGTTTTTTTTTGTGTGTGTGTGTGTGTGTGTGTGTGTGTGTGTGTGTGTGTGTGTGTGTGTGTGTGTGTGTGTGTGTGTGTGTGTGTGTGTGTGTGTGTGTGTGTGTGTGTGTGTGTGTGTGTGTGTGTGTGTGTGTGTGTTTTCCCACAGTGTGTTTTTCCCACGGACAGGTTGCGGGGGCGACCGATCCCTTCCACTCGACCGAAGACGCCCCGCAGCAGTGTTTTGCCCCCTGGCACTTGGGTTCGAGTGCTGGACACGGATGGCCAGGTCCATGCGAACTTCCACGATGTTGCCGTCTGCCGAGAGGCCCCCGTGGCAAGGTACCCCGACGGGACGCGCGGCTGGCAGCGGAACCCAGCGACACAATCCAGCCGGGGCGGCGCGTGGCGACCGTCCTGTGCAGTCCGCCAGGGCCGCGGCGGTAGCCGGAGACTTGGTCATCGCCGGCAAGCATCAGAACGGGAGCGAGGGCTGCCCCAGCGCCAGTCTGCGAGGGGAAACGCCTCCGCCTACACGGGGTGAGTTCCTGCTCCTCGTCAACGGCACCTCCACTGCTTCGCGGGGCACCCGCGCCCTCTCACCTCGGATTACAGCAAGCTGGGCAAAAGGCGGGCGCGCCCTGTAGACGTCCCAGCACGCGTCCTGTTCGACTTCCTCAACTCGAAGGGAGCCCAGGCGGCCCGTGCCAGGGGGATGCAACAAACAGGCGGTCGACCTGGTGCGGCCTAGAGCAGATATTGCGCTGCGCGCGGCGGCGGCGCCCGCGACCCTGGCCGGCGCGACGCCAGTTTCCTTCGCTGCTTCCTCCGCCAACGCAGCCCCACACATTCCTTCCCCGATTCGGCGCCCCGACTTGGCCCACCTTGTCCGCCCGGGCAGCGGGGGGCGCCGGCTTCCGCCGCAGTGTTTGCCCAGCCACGGAGCGCCGCGCGCTGCCCACCCTAGCGATAGCGACGAGCGGCGGTCCTGGCTCTCCCCTTGGCCCACCCTTTCCACCTGGGCAGTGGGGGCCGCCCCCCTCCCTCCGCGCGCCGCCGCGGCGCCCGGGCTGCTGCCTGCAGCTGCCTCGCGCTCGGGGTCCCGGGCCTGGTCTTGCCGCCTGTTCCCCCGCGTTCTCTCTCCGCGCGCCGCCGTGGCGCCGAGCTGCTGGCTGGGGCGCCGGGTTTGGTCTTGCGGCTCGGCCGCCTTCCGCTGGCCCGGCATTTTGTGCTGGACGCGCCCCCCTTGGCGATGCCTTGTCGCCGCCCTTTCCGCGCCTCCACCCCGGGAGCGCGCAGCCACCGCCTGGCGCTTCAGGCCCTTGAGTGTTTCGTACACTTGACTCGCGAGGCTCTTTCTGGAACCTGCGGTGAGGCCCGCCGCCGCTGGAATCCCGGCGCAGCAGCCGCCGCGCGTAGTCCCCGCCGTCGGGGCTAGCGCGCCACCCGCTTCGGGCGTGATCCGCCCCCCTGAGCGGCCTTCGCCGTGTTTCCCCCCCCTTCGGCCTCCTGCCTGTCCTTCTTCCCCCCCCCCTGCATGGCGGCACATTTCGCTACAACGGTGCCCCCGTTTCGTTAGCTCGTCCGCCAGCGCAGTTATTCAGCGTAGCCGCCGACGCAAAACAAGTTTTTGGTGCTGCGCCCAACCCTCCCATGGAGCTCGGCTGTTGGTCCGGATCCGCCACTTTTGCGCGCCATGCATTCATACCCTTCAAGGAGCCCCACCTGTGACCCCAGTGGGACACTCCGCATGGCGCACGCGGGCCCACTTCCAAAAAAACCCTGACGTTTCGTGACCACGTTGGAAAATCTACATGACCCCTTCGGACGTTTCGAGCGTTGCTGCGCCGGGACCTGGCCACGAGAATCCCCCGATGTCGTCGATCGCTTCTTCCCTGCGACCGATGTGCCCAGCGGCACGGATGGGAGCGGCCAAGATGGGGGACGTAAGTGATGACGGGGGGGGGGGCATACAGTCAACCCGCTTAGTAAAGATGGCCAACCTTCCCAGTGTACCCTCGCATCCCTGTTCCTCGGCCCATCCTTCGTCAGTTTCGGTGGCCACGCCCCGTTCGAAAATCTTCGAACTGGGCGCCCAAGTCCTTTACATCGTTATCGCGCAGCCTGGCTATACGGGGTGGCTGTGTCATGGCTGGGGCCACCAGATCTCTCACATCTCATTGCCCCCGTTTTTTTCCAACCATCCTGTGGTGTGGGGTCCTCGTTTTGAAGAGACGGTCCCCGCGTTCTCCTCCTCTCCTCTCCTCTCCTCTCCTCCTCCCCCTCCTCCTCCCTCCTCCCCCTCTTCCTTGCGTTTCTCCCACCCACTACAGCGTTTCGTAGCCTCATAGGGAGCTCTACCGAAAGCTCCAGTGCCATCGTCCACATGCTTCCCCCCCAGTCAGTACAGCGCTTCCTGGCCCCATAGGGAGCTCCACCGAAGGCCCCAGTGCCACCGTCCACATGCGTTCCCTCCAGTCAATACAGCGTTTCGTGGCCCTATTGGGAGCTCCACCGAAGGCCCCAGTGCCACCGTCCACATGCGCCCCCCCAGTCAGCACAGCGTTTCGTAGCCCCCAGTGCCACTGTCCACATGCGCCCCCCCACTCAGTACAGCGCTTCGTGGTCCCATAGGGAGCTCCACCGAAGGCCCCAGTGCCACAGTTCACATGCGTCCCCCCTACTCAATACAGCGCTTCGTGGCCCCATAGGGATCTCCACCGAAGGCCCCAGTGCCACTGTCCACATGCGTCCCCCCACTCAATACAGCGCTTCGCGGCCCTATAGGGAACTCCGCCGAAGGCCCCAGTGCCACAGTTCACGTGTGTCTCCCCCGCTCAGTACAACGCTTCGTGGCCCCATAGGGAGCCCCACCGAAGACCCCAGTGACACCGTCCACATGCGTCCCACTCACTACAGCGTTTCGTGGCCCCATAGGGAGCTCCACCGAAGGCCCCAGTGCCACCGTCCACATGTTTCCCCCCCGGTCAGTACAGCGCTTCCTGGCCCCATAGGGAGCTCCACCGAAGGCCCCAGTGCCACCGTCCACATGCGTCCCTCCCACTCAGTACAGCGCTTCGTGGCCCCATAGGGAACTCCACCGAAGGCCCCAGTGCCACCGTCCACATGCGTCCCCCCAGTCAGTACAGCGCTTCGTGGCCCCATAGGGAGCTCCACCGAAGGCCCCAGTGCCACTGTCCACATGCGTCCCCCCCACTCAGTACAACGCTTCCTGGCCCCATAGGGAGCTCCACCGAAGGGTCCAGTGCCACCGTCCACATGCGTCCCCCCCACTCAGTACAGCGCTTCGTGGCCCCACAGGGAGCTCCACCGAAGCCCCCAGTGGGACCGTCCGAGTGCGTCCTAAAACACTCAATTTGGAATTTTCACGCACCCATTACATCGTTTCGTGGCCCCAGCCCCAGTGCCACCGTCCGCATGCGTCCCGCACACCCAATGTGGCATTTTCACCCACCCAGTGCAGCGTTTCGTGGCCCCACAGGGAGCTCCACCGAAGGCCCCAGTGGGACCGTCCGCAAGCGTCCCGAAACACCCATTGTGACATTTTCACCCACCCAGTCCAGCATTTCGTGGCCCCGTAAGGAACTCCACCGAAGGCCCCAGTGCCACCGTCCGCATGCGTCCCGAATGCCCAACGTGGTATTTTTACCCACCCAATACAGCGTTTCGTGGCCCCTTAGTGAGCTCCACCGAAGCCCCCAGTGGGACCCGTATGCGCCCTGGAAGCCCAAGTTTGCATTTTCGCACACCCAATACAGCGTTTCGTGGCCCCACTGGGAGTTCCACCGAAGCCTCCAGCGGGACCGTCCGCATGCGCCCCGGAAGCCCAATTTGGCATTTTCACTTGCCCAGTGCAGCGCTTCGTGGCCCCATAGGGAGCTCCACCGAAGCCCCCAGTGGGACCGTCCGCATGCCGCATGCGTCACGGAAGCCTTACTTGACACACCGCTCACCCAGAACAGCGTTCCCCCCCACCCAGTGCAGCGCTTCGTGGCCCCATAGGGAGTTTCACCGAAGAAGATGTTCACAATTGCGGTACCCACAACTGCATATGGTTGGGTCCTTCGCCAGGATAACTTCTTTCGGCGCGCCCCGTGGCCCGCTTCGTCCGCGCACATGCCTGGAGACATGATGCGCCAATCCAGCAGGTTTTCACGAGCAGCCACATGTCATATGTATCCGCGGCGCGCGATGGGGGGAACTGCGAAGGAGAAGGCCCTCTCAGAACGAGTCGGGGCATCTCAGAAACCCTCCAGCCTTCTGAGAAGTTTTCAGTGTCGTCGGGGCAGGCTTCGAAAACTTGCCAGAACGAGGGGGAACTTCCGAGCTTTCTGAACAAGGCCTTTTAGTTGTCACTCCCCCCCGGGCGCGCCACCCAGATTGAATCCACATTCCCACTCGGCGGACCCGACCGCGCAACACCAACAAGGAACTCTTGCAGTTCACCGCGGAAATCTGACACCGCGCTCGAAACCCTAATACTATCCATCGGTGGTCTGTTGTGAAAGCGGACCACCCCAAGCAAAGCGTTGTTTTATTTGACCCGTGCACCCGAGAAGCGGGACGACGCGGGGGAGGTGCAGAGGTGCCCCCGCCCCTGGCGGACGGTCTGCAGGCTGAAGGGGGAGCGCCAGAGCAGCGTCCCTGCTGGGCGTTTCCGGAGCCCCGCGCAGCCGTCGCGGCATCCCGTCGTCGGCGCCCTGGGGCGCCCCCGCGGCAGCTGGGTTTCCGACGATCACATTTGTTCCACCCTGGCTTCTTTCTCTTCGTGGATTTCGGCCTCCAGGGCCCGTTCTCGGGCAGCGGGGGCGTCAACGGCGGACCCCCGACGCCAAGCTACCCCTCGGGAGGGGGTCGGGATCTCTGGGGCTGCGGACTGAACAGAAAACATATCAGAAGACGTCTGGGGGGATTCCGCGGGGACAGCACACCGGGGGTAGGTTTCGGCAGCGCCTGCCGAAAGGCGGGGGTGAACCGCACCGCGTCTTGCCTGTCGAAACAGAAGGGGAACAGAGATGAGCTCGGAGACCTGCTCGGATTTCTTGGACCAGTGCTGAACCTCCCGGGCGGCGCCCCCAGCGACGCCCCGCGCGCTCCGCACGCTAGGCAGGGGGGTTCAGCGCAGATCCAAGGAGTCCGCGCGGACCGACAGTTTGTGTTCATGCAGTTGTCATTCCTCTGGCTCTGTAAGTCCAACGTGTGGCAATCCGATGAGGCTTCAGCTCAGGGGGTGAAAGCCCTTTGTCTGTGTTGGTGTCCTCTCCGCGGCGGGAGCAGGGGCGGCGCTCCAGTGCTGCTCGACGGCGCTCGCGATCCCTGGGCCCGCGTGTGTCTGGGCCTCCCAGATGGGGTCGGAGGATCGCGCCACATCGCCAATGCATCGGCGATGCGGCTCGATGTGGGGCCTGGTTTGCTCCACATCGACGGCGCCGATGCATCGCTGATGTCGCCGTTGCATCGCCAACGCATCGGCACTGCATCGGCGATGCGGCGCGATCCCCCGACCCCATCTACTCCGACCCCATTCAGGAGGCCTTTGGTGTGCGCGCAGTCCCATCGCCGTGCATTCCTTCCGCGCCCTCGCGTCCGATCGTTGGGCATGCATCGGACCGGACGAAAGTGTGGGATAGGGATCGAGGGGGCCGCGAAAGCTGCTGCATGCGGCTGGTTTCGGCCCCGCCGCCGGGCCAAGTCGTCGATACATGGGCGCCTCCCGGCGCCAGGAGGCGCCAGGAAAACCAGCTGCGTAAGCTGATTCTCTGCCCTACCCTTGGCTACCCTGCCCTTTCTTCCTCCCCGACTGTCTGCAGCATGCGCCTCGGGCGCTGCACCCAGCCGAGAGCAGTCGTGCAGGAGCAGCTGGCAGTTCTGGGTGCAGTTCGGGCGCTGTGGAGTGCCTTCCGCCGGCACTGCGAGGGCAGTCCTTTTGGCGGGCGGCGAGCCGTGGCACGCGTTTCGGTCAGTGCACGGCTCCGCAGAGTTGGGAAGGTGCAGTTGCCCTCTGAGTTTCTGTTGCGAGGTGATCCTGGACGGCTTGACAAAGTGCTGGCGGATGCCAGGCCATTGTTCGAGCACTTGCACCGATGGGGTACTCGTGGAATGCGTTGTGCAGCCGCAGTTCTTATATCTCGATTATGTGCTGCAGCGACGTGTAAGTGTGTTTGTTTGAGTGCTGTCTCAGTTACTGGAAGATGAGAGATGCCACGTCACGAATTTTCTCTGCATCGTCCGTACTTGATAGTTGACGCGCGCGAGAGAGAATCTCTGGAGCGAGCACTGCGCAATGTGTCGCTGCATCCCATTTTGTATGCGATTGCATCGTGGATAGCATCCTCTCGAAGTGACGCCAGCATGGATCATTGTGTGCTGCATTGTGCATCGTGTGTTCGTTCATTCGCCACGTCCAACCGTTCGTCCTTGAGGCAGCCGTGAGGCACGGAAACAGCATCGAGGAGACTCAGAACCATTGCAATGTTCCCTCTCTCGCCAAGTGTGTGGCGGCCTTTCCATCAACGGTTTTGCCAGGTCTGCGTGTCTGCTGGATCGTGGCGCCACGCAGCGTCATCAACTCAGTGGGCGCCGCGGTGCCGGGGTGGTCGTTGGGGCTAGAGCTTGTCATTGGGCATATCGCGTGGGCGAGACACTTGTGGTGCGGGTGCCATGGGAGCCACATGCAGGCCGTTCAAAGCCACATCTGTGGTCTCTCACGAGCAGCAAGAAAAACGCAACCGAGCGCCTTGGATGCAGCGCGCGAACTGAAAGGAACGACCAGCGCGATTACATTCTTGGCCACCGCACTGGGGCAAGGAAGGTCAGGCACATTTTCCGTGAGCAGCGCGGAGGAAGCGGAACAGGAGCCAGGAAGTTGCCACCACAGCCACCCTTCACCTGCGGACGCAATATGGGGCGAGCCTTGAAGTTTTGGGGGCCAGGTGAGGGACGAGACCAGGCGCGCGATCCGGGATGCCGGACGAGGCAGTGAGCCTCCCCCCGCCCCGACGTCAAGCGCCCAGTCGGGGGCCCGCCAGGGGGCCGGCCGGGCGTTCTTCTCTATCTGGTCAGCGGCATGTGGCAAGGATGTCGACGGCTCGGCAGGTTCGGTTGCGTCGCAGGCGGTTGCGCCCGGTCGGTCTGGTCCAGAATACATCATTGTGCCGCTGCCGCGCCGTGGCGCCCTTTCGGGCTGCATTCGGCCTGCCGATGTTCGGTCGGTTTCGGTTTCGGGGGGGGGGGGGGGGCGCGTCCCCTGGAACACATCGCACCGATCTTGGGCGTGACTGGTAGTTGTTGGAAGGCTCCGTGGTGGTTTCCTGGGGCGCCCGCCTGGCCACGGCGGGGTCTGGCCGGGTGCTCTTGTCCGTGAGGCTGCTCGCTTATAGCGCCCGCGCCCACCCCCAAAGATGCCGACGCGTCGTCTTTGCCACCCAGTTTTCCAAGGAGCACGCGTGTTCAGAGCCCCGAATCATCAGGGGTAGGGGGGGGGGGGGGCGGCGCGTCCCCTGGAACACATCGCATCCCGATCTTGGGCGTGACTGGTAGTTGTTGGAAGGCTCCGTGGTGGTTTCCTGGGGCGCCCGCCTGGCCACGGCGGGGTCTGGCCGGGTGCTCTTGTCCGTGAGGCTGCTCGCTTATAGCGCCCGCGCCCACCCCCAAAGATGCCGACGCGTCGTCTTTGCCACCCAGTTTTCCAAGGAGCACGCGTGTTCAGAGCCCCGAATCATCAGGGGTAACTCGGGTCAGGGATAACTCGGGTTCGTTTTTCGGGAATCCAAACCCGAGTTACCCCGGACCCGAGTTACCCCGGATATTTCGGGCGTCCAGGGCCCCGAATCATCAGGGGTAACTCGGGTCAGGGCTAACTCGGGTTCGTTTTTCGGGATTCCGAACCCGAGTTATCCCGGACCCGAGTTACCCCGGATAACTCGGGCGCCCAACGTGTGCCTGGCCAAGGTGGCGTGCCGCCACTCCTCCCGTCGGGGCCCCGTGGGGGCGGCATGCGTGCCCGGATCTGGCAGCGACCTCGTTGTCCAGCACGCCCCACGGGGCGGCAGGCAGCGCCTGAACAGTTGCAGCGGCGCGCGCCGAGTATCGAAGTCACCGAGCAGCCATCCCACCACCCCCAGCGCAATGGTTTTTCTCTAGAGAGAGAGAGAGAGACGGGCGGAACTCACTGCGGCAAAGCATGTTTCAGTCGCAGAGGTTGCGGCGAACGCCAGAAGTGTGGCGACTTGCTGGAGGATGCCTCGCCGATGCGGGCCGCAGGGTTCAGGTTGTCGGGTGGTGTTTGTCCAAGCTGGATTGGCACGGGGCCCGGGCGGTTGCTTTTCCCGGTGAGTGTGTTGCGCACGTGTTTCTGCTTCTTTGGAACACTCGTGGTATCACCTCTGCTGCGCTTAATGCTCTCATGCTGCTGCCAGCATGGTTCCTCACTCGCTGCCGCCCGCCCCCCGTCCTTGGTAGCTCTCCATCCCCCCTGCTCTTCCATGCAGCTGCTAACCCTGTCTAGCGCCCCTGTTCAATTTTTTTCGCCTAAACTCGGTGGTATCTGCCTGCGTGTATTTGCCAGTGTGCAGCCCCGTCCTGCACGAGCTTGTCTCTAATCCTCATGCGTTGGCTTTCGCTTGCGCCGTTTTTGTTGTTGTTGTTGTTTTTTGTTGTGTCATTTGTTTCCTCTTATCCTGTACCCATACAGGATGGCGTCGTTTACAAATCAGGACGGGAGGTTCTCGGCAATTTTCGGCCTCTGGGGGCCCTCGCCGAGCCGCGGGACCGTCGAGAAACGATTCAGGATAACAAAAACGGTCCTGGGGAAGGGTCCAGACTTCAAGGGGCGCCGTCCTGAAAAAAATAAGACGTCGCATGTCTGGGTATGTAGCCCTTGTTCAGCAGGAGTCTCGTTACCTGACTCCTGGGGGACTGGCCCATGTTCTGTCGCTGTCTCCCCTTGGGTGCGCGCGAACTTGTCCGTGGTGCTTCTGGACCTTTTGGAGACACCGCGAGGCAGTACTGCACGCCCGCGCAAAGCAGACCTCGCCACTGCTGCCGGGAGGTCCTGCGTGGCGCGCGCTGCGGGTAAGAATGGCGCCTCGCGTCGCTTTTTTTGTGCGAATGCAATCACGATTCTCGCAACCTGATGGTGGGATCCCCAGCAGGTCCAGCGCCCTGGGCCCTGGACAGTAAACGAGGTGGTGCGTTGTTCTGTGCGGTGGAGACTTGTAAGAGTGTATTTGTTTCATTCGCGGCCGTATTGGGCGTCTTGGAGGGGAGGGGGGGAGGTTTAACGTAGCGCCCCCCCCACCCCCTGAATGGCAGTGCCAGGTGCGCAGGGGGGGGGGGGGAGTTACGATATGAGGGGAGGGGGCAGAACGCGCGTTCTGGCCCAGAGTGTTACAAGAACGTGAATTCTTCCCGCGTCGCGTCTCTCCACCAGCCCACTTAAACGCCCCCCCCACGAGAGCCGACGGGAAAAGGAAAGCAGGGACACAGCGAGGGAAACGAAGCGAACAACCAGGATGAACGGAGAGATCTCTGGGAGCAAAGGGGGGGGGCCGTGGAAGGCCTCTGGTGCTGCGGCTGGTGCCCTGGGAGGCCTCTGGAGCCCATCGAAGAGCGCATCGATCCAAAGACGCGGGGTTCTCGATTTCGGCCCCTCCCCAGGAGCCTTCAAAATCGCCTCTTGGAGCGTTCCTGAAGCTATTGGAAAGGGTATTGAAGCTCTCGTGGGCCTTCGAGGGGTCTTGAAGCCCTCTGGGGGGCTCTCGAAGGCCTCCTGGGGCAGTATTGAGAGCCATCGATCAAAGGAGGAGATGGTGTAACGTTCAGGCCTTCCCCAAAGAGGCCAAGATGGGGCCAAAACCTTTTTGTGTAACATGTATGAGTTTGGCTTCCTCGCTGACGCCGTGTTGGACTCCCTGACACCTCGCGGGCCCCGCCCCTAAAAAGTGCAGGGGATGGAGTAGGGGGAGGGGAGGGGGTGTAAACCGCTCTCCGTAGAGGATTTTTTTAGAGAGATCTCGTTGGACCACCTGCGCCCCAAAGAGGGCTGGTGGGATTATCAGGGCACCTCTGGAGGTGTCGACTATTCGCCTCTGAGTGGTAGGTAGACGACAGGGGCCATTTCCCATCAGCGCCATGGTGCAAACACGTGGTGCTGTAATCTACCGCGGGTACGATTCAAACCCCGCCCGCTCTTTTGTTAGCTCCTTTGTCCCTGTACCTGCGCTGGCCTTGGGATTTTGCGATGCTGTGGATCTCGCTTGCAGCTTTTTACGTGGCGCGTACTGGCTTTTGTTTTTGCTGTCGATTTTTCTTTTTTCTTTAATTTTTTGTTGTTGATTTCTGTGTTGCTCGCGTCAAGGTTGCTGCGCTTCCCCACGGCTAGCAAAGACCCCCCCGCGCCCGCTGTGAGAGCAGGGCGGGGCACGCTCCGAAGGAGCGGGGGGGGGGTTTTCGGGCGAGGCCAGGCGAACCCCGAACCTACCACCAGCCGGTCCGCGCCGCCGCGGGCCGCCCCTGCTGTCGCGGGCTCAGCCGCTGCCGCCGGCCCGCCGCCGCCCGCCACGCCAGCGTCTGCGCGGGCCCTCCGCCCGCCGATGCCCGGCGCGCCCGCGCAGCAGCGGGCGGCGGCCACGGCCCAGTCTCCGCGGCCCCCCTCTCCTCTTCGCCTTGTGGCGCCATCGGAGCCCCGCCCGCCTGCCTGCTGCGGCGGCCCGCCAGGGCGCTTGGGCCCCGCCAGCAGCAGCCGTCCTCCGCCGCGGTGGTGGTTGGGCCGTTGGTGGTGCTGCTGGCTGCCGCTGTGGTGGTGGCGCTGCTGGTCGCTGTCGCGGTGGTGGTGCTGGTTGCCGTGCTGGTGGTGGTGGCGCTGCTGGTCGTAGTCGTTGTGGTGGTGGTTGTGGTGGTGATGGTGGTGGTGGTGCTGCTGCTGCTGCTGCCGCTCATAAATACGTGTGTGTGTGGTGTGTGGTGTGTGGTGTGTGTGGTGTGTGTGTGGTGTGTGTGGTGTGTGTGTGTGTATGTGTGTGTGTGTGTGTCTGTGTGTGTGTCTGTGTGTGTCTGTGTGTGTCTGTGTGTGTCTGTGTGTGTCTGTGTGTGTCTGTGTGTGTCTGTGTGTGTGTCTGTGTGTGTGTCTGTGTGTGTGTGTGTGTCTGTGTGTGTGTCTGTGTGTGTGTGTGTGTCTGTGTGTGTGTGTGTGTTTGTGTGTGTGTGTGTTTGTGTGTGTGTTTGTGTGTGTGTTTGTGTGTGTTTGTGTGCGTTTGTGTGCGTTTGTGTGCGTTTGTGTGCGTTTGTGTGCGTTTGTGTCATTTGTGTGCGTTTGTGTGCGTTTGTGTGCGTTTGTGTGCGTGTACGTGTGTGCGTGCGTGCGTGCGTGCGTGCGTGCGTGCGTGCGTGCGTGCGTGTGTGCGTGTGTGCGTGTGTGCGTGTGTGCGTGTGTGCGTGTGTGCGTGTGTGCGTATGTGCGTGTGTGCGTGTGCGTGTGTGTGCGTGTGTGTGTGTGTGTGTGCGTGTGTGTGTGTGTGTGTGCGTGTGCGTGTGCGTGTGCGTGCGCGTGTGCGTGTGCGCGTGTGCGTGTGCGCGTGTGCGTGTG